TTACGCTATATTACTATTCAAAGTTTCATATTCAAGCTGAATTCAAGACAATATATGCATGGTTCCAAAAAGTACTGACATCACCTTGGCCATCCTTTATGTGATTGACGTTAGGCTTTATAGCCAAAGTGAGATACTTTCCAGAAGGGTATATTCTGTATGCAAGAATATACACTATGTGCAAAATTTTTAGAAACTTTATATCCATGCAGGTTAAGGAAGTAATTATAATAATTATTAAATATAGGATTCATAAAGACCATATTTAAAATTAATACAAATTGAAATAGTAATATTAGCCAAACTAAGAACTTTCCTCTTTTGACGATTGATGCAAGCTTTAGACAAGAATATTTCGCTGCATCAATTATCGTCAAAAAAGGAAACAAAACAGATTGTACAAAATATAAAGCTTTGTACCTTTCGTGTCAACGGCGGCGCGACTTCTTGGTTTATAAATATTGACGGTGTAGATTTCGCTTCGCCTTCATATTTTCCAGTCGATTCATCGTCTTGGATAGACATCGTCTTTAAATACCTTCGACAAGCAAATACATGTGAATAATATATATTTTCACCTCGATTTTCACTGAATTTGTTTTCAAAACAAACTATTTTTTGAAATTTTTGAGCCGTCTCGCACGTGTCTCGAACTCGCGGGACCAGTGCGAAATTTTTCTGCGTCCTGATTGGATGATGACCACGCATGCGCTACGTTTACCGGAGTGTCAAGTTATCGCGCATGCGTTTGTTTCGAAGGTTTGGTAAACATCGAGCTAAAGCGTTCCACATGCACCACACCAGATAACTGTAACGTACTTATATACGGAACTGTTACTATTACTTGTGTGTGGTAGTTACCGATCATAGGATCTTGCGAAAAGGGTGCCAGGCATAATGGTCTGGGGGCCGCCGGCACTCTCCCCCGTCGTTCGTTCGATACCGGTTGGTAAGCCACCTATTCACCCGCCTCTGACGATAGCGTTGAGTTTAGCCGAAATCTAGCTTAAACGTTAACATACGGCGTTCTAGCGGCTAGCACGAGACGGACTTGACCGATACGGGCTAGCAGAGTCGGGAAGTATGGACTGATGAGGCACTTTTCTTTTAAAAAAAATTATTTCTAATTTACCATTCGATATAAAAACAGATCTTCTAATTTACCGATCAATTGAATTGCGACTAAACAAAGTTAGCAGTGTGTTTTGTGCTTTTTATCTAACTTATAAAAATCTAAAAATGTATCTTTACTACTTTTTTATGTCATATACTCATATCAAATTTAAAAACAAGATTAAAAACCTAACTTAACCTATTTTAAGTTCTAAAGTTTAAGTTTCACGCCAGGATACCAGCTATTTCGCCATTTTGTAGGTACCCGTCTACTTTCTGGTCCGCCTTCATTTTAACCAATCAGATCACGATCCAAAAAAGCTCTTAATCTGATTGACTAATTGAAGAAGTGATCCGTTAATCCCACCAAGCTTGGAAGAGTTTTGGGTAACCCTCAAGTGTCACAGCGAAAGTAACTGAGCCACGGCAAAATAAAATTAACTGTAACGGCAAAACAAAATTGAAACTCACGGGGAAATAAAGTTAACTCACGGTGCAAAACGAAATTAACTCATGACAAAATAAAAAGTCACGGGTGAAATAAAGTTAATTTTTTAAACTCGTGGTTGGAGATCCCGCGCATTTCCCGCCATTCTTGTAGCGCTAGCTAGTTTTTGTTGAGAGCGGTTGAGAGTCAAACCGGTCAAAGCACATTT